GATGGTTTGTTCTGTAGACAAATATACTGTAGAAAAATATATAGCTTAAAGGGGCTAATAATATTGACCTAATTATTATTTTTTAAATTAAAAAACTGTTTACCGTAAGTTATCCGTGCTGTTGTCCTTTTGGTCGTGTGACACTAGCGGGGTGTAGTGGCTGTTTACCAAATAGCAACAGAGTGTCGCCTCTTGGTGATTCTTAAAGTCGTTGCAAGAATCTATTTTCCCCCTAATTATTCTATGGGTTTATTAAAATTGACAACAGTTGCAGAAGAGACCCCAGGACGTCACTTTTTCTTCGTAACACGGTAATTAAATATACTGTGCATTTTTTTGTGTACTTGTGGCCATCCTACTTGTTACCGAAACAAATGGAAAAGAAACACTGTATCTTCAAATTGTGTTTTTCATTTGTGTTTTTCAGGTGCTGTAATATCCATGTGATATGCTAAGAGGAAACAGAACACTGGAAGGACACGATATGTGGTGCAATGGGGTTTTTTCAGTCAAAAGAAGGCCAAGCACACAGTAGTCTTCGCCAAATGACCTGAATTGCCATTACGAAGATAAACCTGTACAAAACCCCTCCCCCACAGCTTTGAAGACTGACGATAATCTGAGTGGAAGGCGGGGCCATTCTGAATGTTGCAGTTTGTTCATAGAAATGTGAGTAAACTTCGTTTATCTGTAGTCTTTGATAAATATTGCAAGATCAAATATAACTTCATGCCATTTCAACACTGTCTGTGATTTATCAAGGGATAGTTCACCCATAAATGGAAATTCTGTCATCATTTATTCACCCTAGATTCTGTTAAACACAAAAGAAGATATTTTGAAGAATGTTGGAAACCTGTAACCATTGACTTACATAGTAGAAAAAACAAATACTATGAAAGTCAATGGTTACAGGTTTGCATCGTTAAACATTCTATATTTGTCTGATTTTTAAGTCCTTTAAACTGATATCTGATATATCAATCGCATAAAGTAGCCTAAAATCGGATCTTGTTGACTCTTTTCTTAAGTAGGTTCTAGGATTTCATGTATTAGATTTCAAAACATCGGTCAGTCACCATGAACAGTTATATATTAATTATTTAATTAATTAATTAATTTATTTATTTATTAATTTATTTATTCACTTATTTATGTTTATTTGTTTATTAAAAATGTATTTATTTACTTGTTTATTTATTTATTATTTATTTATTTACCTCTATTTACTTATTTTATTTATTTATTTTTATTTTTATTTTTTTTATTTAGATGATTGTTTATTTACTTGATTATTTATTTATTTACTTATTTATTTATTAATTTTATTTATTTATTACTTTTTAAATGTATTCATTTACTTGTTTATTCATTATTTATTTATTTATTTGGTTGTTTATTTACTTGTATACTTATTTATTTATTTATTTGTTGACTTGTTTATTTATGTGTTTATTTACTTTATTTATTTAATTTTTACTTGTTTATTTTTTAGTTTTGTTATTTTAATTTAAATTTATTTCATTTATTTACTTGTTTATTTACTTATTTATAATTTATTTTATTTATTTTTGTTTTTATTGTTTTTATTTCAATTAATTACTTTTTATATTTTAATTATTTTTAGCTGTAGTTTTTGTTTAGATTTTATCATGATATTGAGCAATTTATTGGTTGTGACTTGTAGTCATTGATCTGTTATGTTAAATTAAAGAATTAAATGGGTTAAAGATGAGTCTTAACATATTAGTTTCTATTTGACTTTTAGTTGTATAAAAAATAATATATTTTTAATAATTAATATGCCCCCCCCCCTAACTTTTTATGTTTATGTGAATTATGGTCTATATATGATTTACAATTTATTTTTCGAGTATGTCCTGCCCTCTAGTGGTGCTTACAGGAGATGTTCCCACTAAATCTTTATTTTTTTCCTACTTTAAAAGCAATCAACAACCTTTTAGAATGTTTAGTCTGATCTTTTTAAAGAGATCAAACTTAAATTGATTCATTCATTGATTCATCACTTTATTCATCAGGGGTCAGCGTATCCCCTTCTAGCTGCAACCCAGTACTGGGAAACATCCATACACACTCATTCACACTCGTACACTATGGCCAATTTAGATCATTCAACTCACCTATACTGCATGTGTTTGGACTGTGGGGGAAACTGGAGCACCCGGATGAAATCCACGTCATCACGAGGAGAACATGCAAACTCCACACAGAAATGCCAACTGGCCCAGCCTGAACTCGAATCAGCAACCTTCTTGCTGTGAAGCAGACAGTGCTAATCACCGAGCCATAATGCACATCTATAAATATTTTATGTTATTTCACAAGGTGGAGCTATAGTTTGTGGCTAATAACAACAAATAACATCAAAGGCGGGAAATTCATGCTGCGTTTTCAGCTGTTGTTCTAAGCAAGATAAATATAGATCTCGCTATGAAACAACAGCACAAATCACCAGTCGAGAACACTAATGAACACATTAGCATAAAGTTACTTTGGAAAACTGATGTTTGTGGTCCAGAAGATAATAACAACATTGTTGATTGTCACCCAAGAGATATTCTCTCTCTGGCACTGGATGAGTGCAGATGTTGGGGAATAACATTCAGCTAAACTGCTGGAACTGTCATTATAATCAGTATAATTATGAACATTTTCTAGACTGTCTGGACAAAAAACGGATGTAAGTACATGTTACTAAAGATCTAAGAACATTTATTCCAAATTTTAAATGATAATACTGTATATACACTCACAGGCCACTTTGTTAGGTACACCTGTACAACTGCTTGTTAATGCAAATATCTAGTCAGCCAATTACATGGCAAAAACTCAGTGCATTTAGGCATGTAGACATGGTCAGAACGATCTGCTGCAGTTCAAAATGAGCATCAGAATGGAAAACAAAGTTGATTTAAGTAACTTTGAATGTGGCATGGTTGTTGATGCCAGACGGGCTGGTCTGAGAATTTCAGGAAACTGTTGATCTACTGGGATTTTCACGCACAACCATCTCTAAGGTTTACAGAGAATGGTCTAAAAAAGAGAAAATATCCAGTGAGCGGCAGTTCTGTGGATGCTAATGCCTTGTTGATGGCAGAGGTCAGAGGAGAATGGCCAGAATGGTTCCAGTTGATAGAAAGACAACAGTAACTCAAATAACCACTTGTTACAACTGAGGTCTGCAGAAGAGCATCTCTGAACACACAACACGTCCAACCTTGAGGCAGATGGGCTACAGCAGCAGAAGACCACACCGGGTGCCGCTTCTGTCAGCTAAGAACAGGAAACTGAGGCTACAATTCACACACGCTCACCAAAACTGGACAAGAGAAGATTGGAAAAACTAATCTGATGAGTGTCAATTTCAGCTACGACATTCGGATGTCAGCGTCAGAATTTGGTGTCAACAACATGAAAGCATGGATCTCTCCTCCCTTGTATCAACAGTTCAGGCTGGTGGTGGTGGTGTAATGGTGTAGGGGATATTTTTTGGCACACTTTGGGCCCATTAGTACCAAAGTAGCATCGTGTCAACGCCACAGCCTACCTGAGTATTGTTGCTGACCATGTCCATCCCTTATTGACCACAGTGTACCCATCTTCTGATGGCTACTTTCAGCAGGATAACGCACCATGTCATAAAGCGTGAATCATCTCAGACTGGTTTCTTGAACATATCAATAAGTTCACTGTACTCAAATGGCCTCCACAGTCACCAGATCCTCAATCCAATAGAGCATCTTTTGGGATGTGGTGAAATAAGAGATTCGCATCATGGATGTGGAACCTACAAATCTGCAGCAACTGCTATCAAGTCAATATGGACCAAAATCTCAGAGGAATATTTCCAGTACCTTGTTGAATCTATCCCACAGAGGATTAATGCAGTTCTGAAGGCAAAAGGGGGCTCTAGCGGTTCTATTAAGGTGTACCTTATAAAGTGGCCGGTGAGTGTATATTGTAGTATATTTAAAAAAATATTATTTGGTTAGAATATAAAAGGTTTTGTTCATTGTGATTAGCTTATTAAATTTTTCTGAAGTTAAAACATTGACATTAAGCTGTCTAAAATGAATACAAATATTAGAAAACTTTTGGGCTGCACAGTGACGCAGTGGGTAGCACGTTCGCCTCACCGCTAGAAGGTCGCTGGTTCAAGCTTCGGCTGGGTCAGTTGGCGTTTCTGTGTAGAGTTTGAATGTTCTCCCGGTGTTCCTGTGGGCTTCCTCCAGGTGCTCCGGTTTCCCCCACAAGTCCAAAAACATGTGGTACAGGTGAATTGGGTAGGCTAAATTGTTCGTAGTTTATGAATGTGAATGAGTGTGTGTGGATGTTTCCCAGTGATGGGTTGCAGCTAGAAGGGCATCCGCTGTGTAAAACATATGCTGGATAAGTTGGTGGTTCATTCCACTGTGGCGACCCCAAATTAATAAAGGGACTAAGCTGAAAAGAAATTGAATGAATGAATGAATGAATGACAACTTTTATTTTATGCACAAGCAATAAAATACTCTTTAAATAAATACAATTTTTATTTTATTTAAAATAAGAAACAAAATAAAATAAAAATAGCTCAAACACATAATTATAAATTGCAAATCTTGAAAAAACAGAGAGTTGTCAGGTGGTCCAATATATAAATATATAAAAAAAATCCATGGCTGAATAAACTCAAATGAAATTAATGTAATAAGCTACATTTAGGAGTTCAGTGTATATTTTTATTTCAAGATAACGAAAACACTGTAATTCCACTATAGCTAATGTGCACTTGATAGTGCTAATAGGTATTTATCTATTCGTCGTGTTTATTTATTTAAATTGAGAGGCGCACAACAACAGACACGTGAATCGCCGCTGCTGAAATGTGCACTTGCCATGTTATAAAAGGGAGGCAGTGCTTCGTGACGTGTCTGCTCTGTTTAGCCAATAGGGAGCATTATATGTAAATGTGCGCGTCTGAAGCAGGAAGTGCGATAGCGCCTCTCTTTCTGTCTGTAGATGAGACGAAGAGGGATGAATATGCTAGAAAGGGGAAAGCGGATAATACAACGCTAAATAAACACACTGTGTCATTACAGAAGAGCACACATCTTCATTTGACCAACACCGGGAAAGGGAGCAGCTTGTGATCGACTGGGAAACGAGGTATGCTGCGTTCATGCGTACTGAATCTTTGCGTTTTTTTCTACTGGTGTGTGTGTGTAAGTGTGTGTGTGTGTGTGTGTGTGTGTGTGTGTGTGTGTGTGTGTGTATGGGTGTCGTCTCGTTTTCCTCTATACACTGTTCATTTTAGCTATAATCTCTTGTTTTTACTGTACGTCATTATTTATCATAACAACCAAGAGTGTTTTCCCCACTATTAGCTATGTGTCAAGTAGACGCTTGTGTATTTGTCGTGTAAGCGTGACATTTTCCATCATACTGACATTAGTGTAAATGATGGGCAGATTGTTTTTGTTTTTCCCTGTTGACATCGGCAATGTCACTTGTTTTCTCATAGACCCACACATCCTCACTGTATATATACATATAATAAGCATATATATATACAACACATATATATATATGTGTGTGTGTGTGTATATATGTGTATGTATGTGTGTGTGTGTTTGTAAATTATATTTTAGCATAAATATAAATATCTTGTTTCTTTTGTAGTTTGGCATCAGCAGCTTCTTGGATGCATGATATGTTTTTAGTCGAATTTGTGGTTTTGTATGAATGTATACAAAAAGTGGATGTTTTTTACATATGCATAAATAAAGGTTTTAAAATTATATTTTAGTTCACAAGCAGTTTTTTTTTTTTTTGCTTTTTATAATTTGGGATGGATGATATGTTTTTCGTTTAATTTGTGGCTTTGTGTGAATATATGCAAAACTTTTTTTAAAAAGTAAATGTTTTTTTCTAATATAAATGTTTTAAAATTTTATTTCAATTCACAAACATTTTTTTTTCTCGTTTCTTTTTTAAATTTGATATCAGCAACTGCTGGGATACAAGAAAGTTTTTTTTTTGTTTCAAATTAAATGTTTTTAAATTATATTTCAGTTTACAACTTTTATTTCTCATTTTCTTTTTAATAAATTGATATCAGCAGCTGCTGGGATGCATGATCTGTTTTAGTCTAATTTTTGGTTTTGTGTGAATATATGCAATACTAAATAAATGTTTTTTTCTAATATGAATAAATGTTATGAAATTATATTTCAATTTATAAAGATTTTCTTCTTTATATAAATTAAATTCAGCAGCTGCTGGGATGACTCATATGTTTTTAGTTGAATTTGTGGTTTTGTGTAAATATTTGCCAAACTTTTTGTTTTTATTTTTTTTAAGTAAAAAAAACTTTAATTGTGTGAATGTATGCAAAAAAAAAAAATAAAAATAAATTATATATATATATAT